CTGCTTTTTGGGGGTCCCCCAATTTCTCCACCACTACACCGCCGCTTTCCCCCTCCCTGCCGAAAAATCCCATTTTTCATTATTTTTCTTCTGACCCAGAGTTCCTTGTCACTTTATTAACTCCTGCGGAACAGGTACAGTAATTGCTAATATATGGAAGACTCCAGTGCGCCCCCCCCCAAAAAAAAAATCGGAATGCCAATGGCTTCAGAAAGTCTGGGACCCTTTCATTATGGACAAAAATCTCCCCAAGAGTTTACGGGGGGGGGGAAGAGACGTCTCTCCTAGACAAGCCAACTTTGTCTTTCAAGGGGTCCCCTTCTTTGAATAGGGCTGAACAAGGGACCCCACATATCAAAACATGCTACGCTTCTCAGTGGACATTGGAGAAATCACTCAGGACTGTACCTGTCCAGCCGTCACAGAACGCCACCTCTTCAAGCCACATCACGATCCAAGGAACAGCACACAAAGTATTTTATGGGATGCCAAAGTTATTTGAGGTTCAGTGCGATGTGGAAGGGCGCCAGTTCACTTCATATAATGTGTGCGATCATAGCCATAGAGCGGCCGAGCTGGAAGGGACCCCGTGGGATCATCTAGTCCAGCCCCGGTCAAGGAGGCCCCGTGGGGGATTTGAACCCCCAACCTCTGCCTCCACAGCCAGAGACCGAAACCACTGAGTGACCCAGCAGTCATTAATTAGATAACTAACCCGGATAAAGGAACAATGGTTTAGGACAGTATAATAGAACAGTATTTGGTTTAATGCTTAACGGGTATATAATCGAGTGCTTCGTTTTTAGTTTTTTTATAGTTGAAAGTTACATTTGTTATCTTTGTTCTCAGTTTTCTGTTACTAAAATGTTAATACTTTTTTAATTCTTCTGATCAAAGTAAAGGGTTACAACAAAATGTAACCGTTTGGTCCAAACAAAATAAAGCCCAAGCACAAAAAGAGGCAATACCTTTATAGACCACTAAAAAAATAACCATACTTCTTTGTTTGGAGAACTGGGTTGCGGTCTCTCAATGCACGAAAGCTCATGTAACAACACAAAGCCAGAGCAGCTTCCAGTGCGTGATGGGTGATCCTGTGCTTTATTCACCAGGCAGAAGGAGCCAATTGTGCCAAATTGAAGTCAAAGACAGTGACAAATTTTACTTTCTTGGGCTCCGTGATCACTGCAGATGGCGACAGCAGCCACGAAATTAAAAGACGCCTGCATCTTGGGAGGAAAGCGATGACAAACCTAGACAGCATCTTAAAAAGCAGAGGCATCACCTTGCCGACAAAAGTCTGCATAGTCAAAGCTATGGTTTTTCCAGTGAGAGCTGGACCATAAAGAAGGCGGACCGCCGAAAAATTAATGGTTTTGAACTGTGGTGCTGGAGGAGGCTCTGGAGAGTCCCCTAGACTGCAAGGAGAACAAACCTATCCGTTCTGAAGGAAATCAATCCTGAGTGGAAGGACAGATCCTGAAGCTGAGGCTCCAATCCTTTGGCCAACTCATGGGAAGAGAAGACTCCCTGGAAAAGACCCTGATGTTGGGAAGGTGTGAAGGCAAGAGGAGAAAAAGACGACAGAGGACGAGATGGCTGGACAGGGTCATCGAAGCGACCAACAGGAATTTGACACAACTCCGGGAGGCGGTGGAAGATGGGAGGGCCTGGCGTGCTCTCTGGTCCATGGGCTCACAAATAGCCAGACACAACTTAACGACTAAACAACAACGAAGTCAAATCAATGCTTCTTTTCCCTGAACATAAAAGAGTTTTTTTTCCATTTGCAGTCGCCTCTGGTTGATGCAGAATCTATGTGGCTGGTGTCGAGAGACCGTCTGGTCTGCTAAGTGGTGCCGTGTACAGCCATTAGCGGTATCTTGTACAGTCCAGAAAGAACAAAGAAAAGGCCAATGGTTCCCCAAGATCACGCAAATGTAAGAGCTAGGGGATACCTTTACTGAACTACAAAACACAAACAAACTTGCAATCTGTGTGATCATTTTAGTGATATAATAAAGGCATCACCTTCCTTTTGTGTTTGTGTAATCCTGAACCACATGCCTCTTGTCCTAGTTCTTTCCAGACAAAGGTAAGAGTGGGAGATAACCCAGATCAGAGTGGCTTGGCTCAGAGAGATAGCAAACTAACGATTATTCTCAAGATGCGTGATTTTCACTCGCCTACCAAATCACACCCTAGCTGATGTGGAAGTCGCTCATGTTTTCCCCTCCTCTTTTCCTGAGATCTGTAACCCCATTTGGCTTTGCATTTTTTATAGACACATTTTGTTTTTTCTGTAATAAAAATCTTTATTTTATTTTGGTCAATAAAATAATTAAATAATTTTATTTTAGCATGTATACATTACTGAAACAGTGACGTCTACATTGGCTCGGGCATGTCGGGAGAATGGTCGCTGGTCGGATTCCGAAAGATCTCCTGGATGGTCGATGGTCGGATTCCGAAAGATCTCCTGGATGGAGAACGAGTGCAGGGACATCGCCCCAGAGGAGGTCGGCCCTCAAGGGAGATGTCATCCCGTTATATTCTGAAGACAAACCCTCATCTTGACTCCTGCCGCCCCAGCCATGGAGGGTGCCTTTGTAAGCCTCCGGAATAGTGTTTTGGACTGCAAACACCACAGGAAAGTGACCTGGGGCAGAGATGAATGTGATCAGCAAATCTCTTTCGAGCTCTGCTTATTGCTAGCAAAAGTAAATCAACTATTCCTCACGGTGTTTGCTTTGCATAATCGAACAAAGAGGCAAAGTACAACTTTTCTTGAGTCTCCTGTGTGCAAAATGGTGATTTTTAATTTCAGCATTGGGGAGACAGGCCACTGCTCGGTTGCAGACCCAACACCAGTCACCAAGCTGATGTGCCTTTCTAAGTTAAATGAAGCTTGATGAATACCAAATACAATTCCACCGGCTACCAAAGTCCCACCAGCCCAAGGAACCTGGCTTCGAAGAGGGGCCAAGACCGCCACGAGGAGGATCCAGATGCTGGGCTGGAGCTGTCCACGAAACGTGGCTGCTTCCTGACATCCTTGGTCGGGCCAGCCGGCCCCATCTCCATTCCCCCCACCTAGATCTCTGCTGCTGCTGCTCCTTCTGTGGGATGAGGCAGCTGAGCCTGTAGGGATGTCACACACTCTCCTGCCCCAGAATCGGGCTCCCCAGGAGAACGTCAGTTTCTGCAAGGAGCAAAAGACTGGATGGAAGGTGCTCCCGAAACTCTGCTGCTTGCTGTCTTCCTGGTCGGGCCAGGATTGTCTTGGGGGGGGGTTGCTCCTGTGGAACTCTGGCCCCTCTTTCTGCAGGAGCAGCAAGCCAAGAACCAATATCACATATGCCCACTTCATGCCGTTTCTTGCCATGGACGGGCACCAGGAAAGAGGGGCCCTCCACCAGTGCCAGGGGCCAGAAGTGTGCCAGGCAGGGAGGAGAGGAGAAACATGGACAGACTTTGAGGCCCCCAGAGGTAGACCCAGGAGCCATTCCGTGACCAAGACTCTGAGGGCAGACAGGAATCAAAAGCTTCTGCTCCTTTAGGGCAGGATATTCGCTGACAATACAGCCACTTGGACAGGAATGAGGCAGGATGATGCTTCTACTACTGGAAGAGCAGCAGCAGCAGCAAGCAGGCGAAGAGCTCAAACCGGTTCTAACTACTGGGTGGTAAACAAAAAGAAGCTGACGGCATAGACCAAGACCCAGATCTATACAGCCAGTGTCCTGAGCACACTCCTGTCCTGCAGTGAGTCCTGGACCCTTTGTGCACG